AACTGCCTGGGCAGGGTGAAGCTGATAACAGGTAACATTGAAAACGTTGGGTTAGGGAAGCACCAGGTTTGGAGGGCCTTGAGTACCAGACAGATAGGAGTTTGGACCTCACTTGTTATATAATGGGATGCTACTGAAGATTCTTGAGTAGAAGAGTTTTATGATATACCTAAGAAAGATAAGGCTGGTAGTTATATGAACTGTAGTTGGGAGTGGAATGCATTAAGGAGTCAAGCTATAACATTAGGAGGCTATTGGAGTAGTGCAAGTGGATAAGAAAGAGAGGTGGGAGAGATTATAGAGTTAAAATGAATAGGGCTTTGTAACCAAATGACAGTGGAGGAAGAGGGAAGAGTCAACTATAACCTTAAGGCTTCAGGTATAGGAGACTAAGAGTATGTTGGTGGTGCCATTGACAGAAACAAGGAAAAGCAGATTTAGGTGAAAAGATAATAAGTTTGATTTTGGTTATACTGAGTTTGAGATGCATATGAGATACCTGGGTTTCTTGTCCTTTAGGTACTTTTAAATGTAAGCCTTGGAAATCAGGACTGGAGATTTAGATTGGAAAGCCATCTACACAGAGGTGATATTTCAGGAATAGCATGAATGCAATTTCCAAGGGAGAGTATAGAGAAGGCAGAAAAGAGGGGCAAGAGCAGAACTTTGGAGAACTATCTGCCTTAAGGGGTTTGATGAGGACAGTGAAAAGATATTTAAAACATACACATACAGACTTTAGTTAATAAAAAGGTAATTTTTAGAGGACAAATTATTGTTGGCATTGTGCATGTTGTTTTCTTGGCTCTGTTTACTTTACTTTTTGTCTGTTCATTTAAAGTCTTTCCATGCTTCTCTATATTCACCGTGATCACTGCTTTTTATAATACAGGAAGTTCCATCACATTCATATACCATTTGTTTAGCTATTCTTCCAATTAATGAATCAGTCTACTTTTTTAAAAATAGTTTTTTGATACTGTAAATTCTGCTGCAAATATTTCTACGTATATGGAATCTTTTTGTCAGTTACCTTCTTGGAGTGTGTGACTAGCAGTGGAATCTCTAGATCAAAAGATATAGATAGTTTAGCCATTTTATTTGCATAATTTCAAGTTGTTTCCCAGAAGAAGGGCCAGGACACACCCCTGTGAGATAATTGCGAGATATTTTGAAATAGTAGCACGGTTGCAACAGGTATCAAATTATTATAAGTTTACAGTTTTTTATGTGATATGGAATGCTGAATTTGGGGAACAGCAAGTAGATCAGTTTGGCTTAAAAGTAGTACCTATGAAAGGGAGTAAGTAATATGTCATAAGGTTAGCCTGGAGAGGTGCTTTTTATATCTAGATTGTGAAATGCTTTACATGTCCAGAACAGGAGATTTGTATTTTATCTTTCTGGCAGTAGTACAGCACTGTAATTTTTGAGTGCCACGGTCACATTGGTGCCATAGGAAATTTATTTTGGCAGCTCTGTAGAGGGTATATCACAGAGAGGAGACAGTAGAAGAAGGAATACCAAGTACCAGGCTTTGGCATTAAACCAAGGGAGACATGATTAGGGCTTGAACTAGAATAGTCAGTCAGTAAAGAAAAGTAAATGGATGTAAGATTTCTAGAGGTAGAATCAATAAGACTTAGCAACTGACTGTATCTTGAGTTGCCAGCCACTAAAGACTCACATGCCCTTGAGCCTTTTCTGTTTTTAAGATTTGTATGATTTGTTTTTCAGAGTTTGTCCTGTCATTATTAGTCTTAGACACATGAAGATAAAGTAGTTACTTTGGGGGCAGTTGTGTTTTATCCTTTTTACTATGCAGTAGCTCGCAAGTTTAGTTTTCCTATGGGATTATATGTAGCTGAACATCCCCTTGATTTCCAGTTCTTTGGAAGCACAAAAAGAGCTGCTATAAATATTTTTAAAAAAATTTTAAATTAATTTATTCTGATTTATCAACAATCACTTCCATAAGCTTTTGAGTTTTAAATTTTTCTCCCCCACCCTCCCCAAGATCTGCTATAGGCTGTATACATTCCTGTTAAACATATTTTCATATTAGTCATGTTGTAAGGAAGACTTAGAACCAATAGGAGGAACCACAAGAAAGAGGAAATAAAACAAAACAGAAGAAAAAAATAGCAAATAGTATGCTTTGATTTGCATTCAAACTCCATAGTTCTTTCATCATGAGACTTTTGGAGATGTCTTAGATACTTGCATTGCTGAGAAGGGCTAAGTCTATCAAAGTTAGTCATCACACAACATGGCTGTTGCTGTGTACAATTTTCTCCTGGTTCTGCTCACTTCACTCAGCTTCAGTAGATACAAGCCTTTCCAGGTTTTTCTGAAGTCGCTTGCTCATCATTTCTTATAGCACAATAGTATTCTATTACATTCATATACCACAACTCGTTCAGCCATTCCCCAATTGATGGGCATCCCCTCGACAAATATTTTTATAAACAAAGGTCTTTTTCTTTTTCTTTGATCTTTTTGGAACACATACCTAGTAGTGGTATTGCCGGGACAAAGGGTATGCATAGTTTTCTAGCCCTTTAAGTAAAGTTCCAAATTGTTTTCCTGAATGGTTGGACCAATTCACTAATCTACTATTAGTTCATTAGGGTACTTATTTTTCCCTCATCTCCTCCAGCATCTGTCATTTCTGATAGGTATGAGGGGATACCTCAGAGTTGTTTTCATTTGCATTTTTCTAATGAGTAGTGACTTAGGAAATTAAGGGGATGCTCATTTAGAGAGCAGCTGAACAAGTTGTGGCATGTGTTTGTGATAGAGTACTATTGTGTTGTGGGAAATGATGAGGGGAGTGGATTCAGAAAAACATAGCAAGACGTTTATGAATTGTTGCAGAATGAAGTGAGAATCAGGAGATCATTGTGCACAGTAGTGATGATGATCAACTATGAAGGATTTGTTTACTCTGATCAATACAGTGATCCAAGACAATTCCAAAGCACTTATGACGAAAAAATACTCTTCTCCAGAGAGAGAAATGATGAACTTTGAGTGCAAATAGAAGCATAGTTTTCTCATTTTTAAATTTTTCTTGCTTTTTAAAAAAATATGGCTAATATGAAAATATGTTTGGCATGATTTCACATGTATAATTGATATATTTCTTGCCTTCCCAAAGAGTGGGGGAGGGGTTGAAAGGGAGGAAGAGAATTTGGAACTCAAAATTTAAAAAGTAAAAAATGCTATAAATAATGAATTGGAACAGCTGTAGTATTTATCTGTGCTTTATTCTGAATTTCCTTCTGTTCTCTTCTGTGCACTAAAAAAAAATATTTTAGTGGTCCTCTTTTTCTTTGGCATCCTTTGCTCTTCTTTGCCCACTACCCCAAGCCTCCCCCCAGTTAAAAACTAAGAGGAAGGAAGGAAGAATAAAAGAATGGGAAGAAGAAAGGAACTCTTGTGAGAAGTATAGTCAAGCAAAATAAATCCACACAGTAGCCATGTCCAGAAGTGAATGTCTCATTCTGCACTTTGTGTCCTCTTTGTCAGAAAGTGAGTAACATGCTTAATCAAAGGTCTCCTGGAGAGAGAGACACACACACACACACACACACACACACACACACACACACACACACATTTATACATATGTAATTAGTCATTACTTTGATTAGTTATTTTTCTTTATGGTGTAGCTGTACTTGTATAAATTGTCCTCCTGGTTCTGCTCACTTCACTTTGCATCAGTTTATACTTGTGGGATTCTTTCAGATTGTCACTTTCATCATTTCTCATGGCATAAAAATATTCCATTACATAGACCAAAATTACTTTAACCATTACTTAGTTGCCTAAGAGGCAGCCTGAGAGCTGAGTGGCAGGTGGACACCAAAGATGGATGAGCATCCCTGAAAAGGGCTTGGCAAGCTGGAGTTGCTTGTCTTCCTTGGACACATGGCTCCAAGAAGCTGTAGCATGTGCAGTGGCCATACCCTGGTAGAACTGTTTTGGCAGATGGGCTAAACCAGATTGAGGATAAATGATAGGCCTCAGACCCATTGGTGATCCCCTGGTGGAATGAGCACATGAGAACAGTTTGTTTCAGTAGCCATGAAGGCAGCTGAAGTAGGTTCTGTGGAGTGCTTAAAGCTTGGTTAGACTTCAGAGCCATCATGGTCATCCATTACATCCTGGGCGATCGCCAGTCTTGACTTTTGTCTTACCATTGAACTTTGATGACTCTGGAAGAGAGAGTGAGGCTGATGACTTTGTGTGATTATGCCTCGTAAATACAGTTCATGCACAAATCAGGACATCACCCCTGATGTCAGTGGTCCTCTTTGAAAATGAAGGATGAAGGGCAGCTAAGTGGCGTAGTGGATAGAGCACTGGCCCTGAAGTCAGGGGGACCCGAGTTCAAATGCGGTCTCAGACCAAACACTTGACATTTACTGTGTGAACTTGGACAAGTCACTTAACCCCAATTGCCTTAAAAAAAAATGAAGGCTGAACAACAGTGTATAGTTGTAAAATTGATAAGTATTTGAAAATAGAGAGGTGAAGTTTTTCATTCTGAATCCCAGGAAACGGTAGAAAAAATGAAGAAAGAATGGTTCAGGGATTTATTTCAGTGTTCTTCCTGACAATCATTCAGTCAATTCATGGTAACTGGGAAGAGGTTCTTTCTTTTCTATTAACTTTATATGTCCTCCTAAAAGCTTTTGGAATTCCTGCCATTTTTGTTACAAGTGTTCCAGTAACGATTTCCAAGTAAATCAGCCCTTCAAAACACATCATAACCTTTGATTATCTTCCTTTATTAAAATTTTTCTTAGTTTTCTTGTGCTAAATTGTTTTTGTCATATTGTAGTATGTAGGAGTAACTTGCATTCTTACATAAATATAGTAAATAAAATGTTAACTTGGACGAAGTTTTCTGATTAGTTTTATGATTAATTTGTGATATAACCCTATCTAAAAAACTTAACTTCTTTTTCCTTCTGTTTGATCTCATGTAGAAAGAAGGAAAGAAAGAGCGGGCTGTGGTGGACAAGGTGTTCTTTTCAAGAATTCAACGAATTCTGAAAATTATGGTTCCTAGAACGTTCTGTAAAGAGGTAAGTCTTATTTTGGAAAAATAGATGTTATAAAGTAACTTTTGATAGGTGTCATAGAAAGAGTGCTAGGTATGGAGTCAGAAAACCTACCAGATTTGAATTTGGTTTCAGCTACTTGCTTGCTGGATGGTCATGGGCAAGTCCCTTAACATCTTTTAGCTTCAGTTTAATTTGTAAAATGGGCATAATGCTTGCATTATTACTGGACAAGGTTGCTGTGAAGAAAAATGCTTTGTCAGCCTTTCACCATTTTATTGACATGATACATTACATCATCTTTTCAGATTGCAAGTCAAATGGTCTATGTGGACATACTAAAGAAAAGGGCATTTCTTTGATTTAACAGGCTTGTACAAATGCTGTCCCATTTTTCCTTATGCCATCAGTGACGTCTTTCTTAGAGTGAACAGACTAAGCAGTGTTATAAGCAGAACTGAATAAAACAGAGTAGACAAAGGCATCGCAGCAAATTTTGGAATGTGGTTGAAAGGAGCCACCTGAAACCTGAGGGGCAAAGAAAATAAAAGCACAGTGTGACAGAGTTAGAGCACTGGCCCTGGAGCCAGGAGGATCTGAGTTCAAATGTGGCCTCAGACACTTACTAGCTTTGTGACTGGACAGGTTACTTAACCCTGATTGCCTCCAGAAAACAAAACAAAACAAAAGCATGCTTTGGAAACTGCCAGTTCTTCTGTGTGCAGCAGGACTGAATTGGGCAGCACATGTAACTTGTGGCAGCACATATAACTGGACTTACACTGCAAGATTGTCCCTCGCAACTTTTATTTTAGGAGGGGAGCTGATAGTGAAAAAGGAAAAGTGGATTCATTAGCTTTTCTGCCCTTTTCCTTATTTTAAAAACATTGTCATCATCAGAAACACAAAGAATTTTTACATTATTATCACTGTAACCAGAACATTTACTTGCATCTTGACCTGTAAGAAGGGAAGGGGAAAGGAATAGACATTTATAGAGCACCTACTCTGTGCTAGGCACTGTATGCTAAGCATTTTACAACTATTAGCTCATTGGATTCTCACAATTGGAAAGTAGGAGCTATTATTATCCCCATTTTACAGTTGAGGAAACTGAGGCAAACAGAGGTAAAGTGACTTGCCCAGGGTCACACAGCTAGTCAGTGCCTGAGGCTGGATTTTAACTTGGTTCTTCCTGAGTCCAGTCTCAGCAGTCTTGTCTACTGTACTGCCTGACTGCACCTATTGTGCATATAAATACATAGATTCATAGACTAAGACACCTTTATAACTTGAAAGGGACTATAGAGGTATTTTTATTTTTCAGATGAAGAAACTGAGTCCCAGAGAAGTTAAATGATTTGTTCAAGACACACAGCAAGGCAGTAACATAGTTCAGCCTAGAAACCCTCGTGTCACCTGAGTCCTTGCTCATTATCGCTAGAATTAAACATAATTTCTCCTCTCTAGGAACCTGTGGTCCAAAAGGAAAAAATAATATTTTGAACATATATTTAGTAATATGATACAAGGCTTGTTTGTCCTGGATGGTTTATCTAGAGTGGTAGTTCTTAACCTTTTCTGTTGATGGACCTCTTCAACAAATCTAAAATTAATATTCTTAAATGCACAAAATTTTTTTTAAAAATCAGATTACAAAAGAAATTGGTTATATTAAAATACAATTAGAAAGTATAAAAAAGTTCACAGACTCAAGGTTAAGATCAAGAGGGATTTTGTTATGTTAGCTAGGGGATTTATCCATCCCCTTTATTAACAAGGTGTTAGATGTTGGCAGTGCTTTCTGGTTACCATGTCTTCAGTCTTTAACATATGCCCTTAAAAAGGCATTTGAAAGAGGGATGAAGCTCTTTGAATCTATAGATAGATATACCTAAACTATATAGTACAGTTCAACTGTGTGTTCCTAATTAAGTGGCAGCAGATATATGTAGTTTCCGTATCAATGAATGAAAATGAATTAGTAGGGAATTGCAAGGCTCAAACCCTTAAGGAATTCACTCCCAGATAGTATGTTCCTTTGTCTAGGATACTTTCTTAACCCACTGCAAGAGGGATCAAGGGAAATGGGCTTGCTTAATTGACATGTTAACTAAGGTTGGAATGATGTTAATACTACATAAAACTGGAAAAACTACTGATGGAGCTCTCCATGTATGTAATGATATCTTTGTACAGGGTAACTTCTTTTTGAGCAGCCTAGACCTTGGGAGAGCATTCTTCTGATAATTAACATATATTTGCTTTTTTCTTGGAGCTTGAAGAGATTGAAAGGTAGTGCTGTGATATTCTGCTACATTTATATACTACAATTTTATTATTGATTCTCCACGTAATGGACATATACTTTGTTTCCAGTTCTTTGCTACCATAAAAATTACTGTAAAACATACCCACTTTCATGGCTTCATCTCTCACTTCTCTGTTAATGTCTTCTAAATGTATACTTTCAGCCGACAGTAATTGGTGGAGAATTCTGGCATTATCTCTAATTATAATAAACCTTGCATGGTTTCATAACAACTACTCACATTTAAATAGTACCTTAAGGTTTACAGAGACTTTCCCTTATCCTCTATTACCCCTCCCCCAAATCCTGCAAAGCGTATGCTATGTTTATTATAACCATTCTGTAGACGAGGAATCTGTTAACTCAGAGAAACTGTCTAATTTGCCCATGATCAGATAATCTGTAGTGCTCATTCTTGTCTCTATGCTTTTATTCAGTGATGTTCCCTTATAGTGCCTTACTGCTGCTTCTCAATCAATTCAGATCCTTCCTATCCTTTAAGATCCTTTTGTTGTTGTTGTTCAGTCATTTCAGTCACGGCTGTTTCCAACTCTTTGTGACCCCATTTGGGGTTGTCTTGGCAAAGATACTGGAGTGAGTTTGCCATTTCCTTCTCCTACTCATTTTATAGGTGAGGAAACTGAATCAGATATGGTTAAGTGGTTTGCCCAGGTTCGCACAGCTAGTAAGTGTCTGAGGCTGGCTTAGGCCTGGGACTCTATCTACCGTACCACCTAGCTGCCCCTTTAAGGTCCTTTTCAAGTTTTGCCTTTTATAGGAAGTTAAAAAAAAACAAACAAACACAAACCAGCCTGTTTTTGTGCACATCGATCTCTTCCTTCTCTGTTTTCTTAAGAGCACTTAGAGTTTATACCATATAATTTTAGCTCTAAATTCTGTAAATATCTTAGGATTAAAAAATAACATAATGTAATATAGAATTACATTAAAATGATAATATAATGTATATAATAGGATGATAAACATAGAATAGAATATCTATAGAATGCTATGTAGAATAGAACGATATAATATAATAGAATGATAAAATGGGGAAGAGATTGTCTGGTGCCAAATACTTTTACAGTTGAAGAAACGAAAGCTCAGGAAAGGAAGTTAATTTGCCCAAAGCCAAAGGACCAGTTAATGACCAGCACTGGGACTTAGAAACCACATGTCTTGACTTCCAGTTCAGCCCTCTTTCTGCCGTACGATAGTATTGTTTTTCCATTGTTTGTTCCCCACTTGAGGTAAATTCTTCAAGTATAGTAACTGCAACTCTAATGATACCTATTAGTAGTACTGGGTGAATACTGATATACTCACTACTTCTTGGCTATGGAATATTGTATTGGGGGTTGAGAGTAGAGAAAAGGCAGTTATTCATTGATTGAAAAAATGAAATTTAACATGAAGAGTATTTTACTGGCAGGATTATGATCATTGTTCCATTATAAAAGTGCTACCATTAGCAGACATTGCATGAATTCCATCTTGGAAAAAAATGTCAACCATAAGGTAAGAAAGCAGGTAGATGTTTGGGTTTGTATAATAATGGTATTTGTTGCCAGTTGTACCATTGATTTTTAAAAATGGAGAATGCATTCTTATGATAAAGGGAAAACAAAGCTCAGGATTATTTAACTGCTCAGGGTTTTTGGGCACTGTTTAATTTGTTGTGTGTATTTTTTTCTAGACAGGTTACTTGATACTTATTGCTGTTATGCTGGTTTCTCGCACATACTGTGATGTTTGGATGATTCAAAATGGGACACTTATTGAAAGGTATTTTTCCATTCACTTCTATTATGTCAAAACTACTTTGCCACCCATTCAAATTTATTGTGTTATCAAGAAAGAATCTGAATTACTACTAATTTAACTCTAAAATGATATGTAAATCTTCGGCCTGAATATTTACAGTTGATCAGGCAATTATAAATAAAACATTAAAAAAGTTTTCCATATATTCCATCAGGAAGCAAATAATCATTAGAGGTTATCACTAGAAAAAAGTAAACTGCTAAGCATCTTGAACCTAACACTTTTAATATATTTTCTTTATTCTTTTTCTGCATATTGAAGTATATTGGATTTGAAGCGTTGAGACCATTTTGAATTAGAGTTTTAGCTTAGAAATTAAAAATTGAAGTGTCCTAAGAAGTTTTTGTATTGATTTTCTTGTAAGTTAAGACTTTTTTTCTTCTTCTGTGTTCTGCTTTTAGACGATCCTAACTTTAAATGTCCAGTAGTGTTTGAGGTTGTTTAATTTTTTATGTTCTTCTTACTAATAAAAATATTTACAACAATCATATTTACTGAAATATTAGATTGAAAGCTGTACCAAAGGCTTTGAAATGAAAACATTTTTTTCCTCTCAGATACTTTATGTGTATCTTGGAAAATTTGGTGGGAGATGGGGATGCCAAAATTGTTCATTTTATCAGCCTCCCTTTGAGGGTGGAGGAAATCAGCATTGCTTTTTTTAAAAAATGGTATAACTATTCATATTATTTTTACTCAAAAGGTAGGCTATTAATTCATTTTGCTGACTCACTCCAAGCAATCTGTGCTTTATGAAATGTTGCAGTTTTCTGCAGTACTTGTTGATTGTTATCTAGCATTTATATATCACTTATCTTTGCATTTGCTACCTCATCAGTTTCTTTAGTAGAGATCTATACTGTTTGTCTTGAGACATAACAGGAATGGGGAGAAAGAACTGACTATCTGCCAGTGTTGAAACAAAGTTTTAAAAACATTCAGAAACCACAGGGTACGTATTTATGCAGTCAGCCCATGCATGCAGTTTTCACCAAGACTGTAATTGCCACTTCTTAAACTTCTCTCCCTTTATTCATCTGCTCTCCCTTCCTTCAGCCTCCCTCAGCCTGATCTTTTATGCTTTCCTCTTCAAACCTGCCCATGATTTTGAGGGAGGGGGAAAAGGGGGAAAATCAGAGAAGAGACCATAAACAAAAGGACCACTTCGCAGCACCCCATGCCCTGAATCTTGCAGGATAGCGCAATAGAAAGAACAGTAACTGAGGTCAGAGGACCTGGGCTCTCATTTCACCCTTGTATGCTCATATCACTTTGACATGCTGGCGCCTCAGTTTTCATGTTTCTCATAAAATGGAGGATTGGACCAAGTGGCCTGTGCGGCTGCCCCTGTGTTCTCTAGTTCTGTGATCTTAGGAATAAAACCCTTAGTGAGATCTTCAGAGATGGTTGCGTGTGGGTATGGTTTGTGTGCTGGATTTGGTGTCCCAGGACCTGGCTTCTCAGGCTCAGATTTCACACAAGTCACATCTCAGACCTTCTGTTTCTTCATGTTCAAAATGAGGTAATTGGATTAGGTGTGACCTGTGATGTCTCTTCCAGCTTTAAGTCGGTCCTGTCATTCCAACTTTGATTGCCTCTGTAAGGTCAGTGGAATGATTCTAAATGCCTCTTTAAAATTAAAGAAAACCTTACGCAGAAGAGTACAAGGCATCAGTTATTTTAACTATTTTAACATAGTCTATCCAGATCACCTCAGAAGAACCCTTCCAGGTTTTATGAAGGGAAGCAGATTAGTATAATGGGAAGAGTTCTGACTTTGGAATTAAGAGGACATGGGTTCAAATGTGATGTTTATGTTTATTACCTCTGTGGCCTTGGGAAGAAACAAGCCTTTATTAAGAGCCTGCTCTGTGCTAGGCATTAGGCTAAGCTACAGTATGATCTCATTTGATCCTCACATGACCCCTGTGAGATAGGTGCTATCATTATTCCCATTTTGCAGTTGAGGAAACTGAAGCAGAAAGAAAGGGTAAATGACTTGTCCAGTGTCACACAGATAATAGGTGTCTAAGCCTGGATTTAACTCAAGGCTTCCTGACTCTAGGCCCTGCACTCTGTCCCCTGCACCACCAGATGCCTCAGACAAGTCACCTAATCTCTCTGGACCTTAGATTCTTCATCTATAAAATGAAGGGCTCTTTGGTCCCTTCCAGCTCTAGAGCTATGATCCTATAATATAAAATTATTACTTATTACATTTAGCATTTTAGTTTTAGGTAGATGAATTTCATGATATATAGTGTTGTGGTTTTTGCATGATGTTTAGGGTCTCTCATATTATCATTATATCCAGGACATTTATGCTTATTTTATAGGACCTGGAGACTATTTTACTGTTTTAAATTATTATAGATTTTTATGGTTGTGTCTTTGCTTTTATGACATTATTTCTCAAATACTTAACATATTTGATACTCTATTCTTTAGACAGTCCAACCCTTGATTTAACATTGTTCTTTGGAATAACATAATCCACTTTACCATGTGGCTTTCAGTAATGTGTAGCAAAAACTACAGAGGAGAACCATCCCATACACAGCTGAATTACAATGCTTTCTATGCAGAATTATCTTATATCTTTGTAACATTTCATATTTATAGTAATGTGCTAAGTGAGTTTGCAGGATGTGATAAAAATTGTAGAAAAGTTAAATGTTTGTTATCAGTTCTTTATTTACTGGGACTGTGGAATATTCTTTTCATAAATTTCTATCATTTTCTACTTCCTAAATATCTTTGCATCTTGTTCCTTTCTAGTGCAGTGATATCTCAATTAAAGAATCATCATATGGGAATGAAGCTCTTTCATAACCTTGTTTGTACACTTCATACGTTTCAGGAAGCAGTGTTGATATGCATCACGTTGTTGCTCCTTGGCCCTGTGAAACAGCATACTTTTAATTAAAAGAGCATTGGGCCTGAAACCTGATTCTGAGTCTTAGCCCCACTGCTTAATAATTATGTGACCTGGGATAAGTCCTTCAATTTCTGGGACTCTCCGTTTCCTTGCCCTACTGAGGCAGCACAGTGCAATGGGAGGAATCCTGCATTTGGAGTCAGAGGACCTGAGTTCATATTCTGCCTCTGCTATGTAATCCTTATGATCCTGTACAAGTCATATCCCCTTACTGAGTCTCAATTATCTTATCTGTAGAAGAAAAGGGTCAGACCAGATCACCTGTGGGGAAATTTTTAGCTCTGCATCTGTGATATTTGGTCTATAAAATGGTGAGTGTGACCTAAGGACAGAGTGCTGGACCTGGAGTTGAGACCTTTATTCGGATCCTTCCTCTGACATGTTTCATTTCGCTTTTGTGAGCCTCAGTTTTCTTTTCTGTAAAATGGGGGTGGTAATAGGACCTACCTCACAGAAGTGTTCATGTAAAGTGATTTGCAAACCTCAAAGAGCTATATAAATAACAGAATTAACTATTATTTGTGTATGTGAAAGTTCATAAAGCACTTTATAAATATAAGCTAGTAAAAATATCTCCTAATGTGTGTGTGTGTTTGTTCAAATCTTCTGTTTTGACACACACAGTTCAAGGTAAATAAAGCCTTATTGTGCTCCTCTTCCTTTCATCTTCTCCTTTGCCCTATTTTCCTTCTTTCTCTTGTGCTGTACCCCTACTTCCTAACTTTGGGTGCCCATACCTCCATTTTACCAAAATTCAAAATTAGAATAACAGTTTATGATTTTATGCTTGTTGATTTGTTAGCTCAAGTAGGAATTTGAATTTAAACCTTTATTTCTGTTTATGTTGAGAATATTTTGTCAGTTTTCCAAGAAACTGTAGACATCAGGAAGTAGATAGAAGAATTTTTAAAATTTTCTTTTTTTGTTTGAGTGCTGGTGATCAAGGAGGCCCCTGAAATTTTGTTATCCGTAAGCCTGGATTTTAAGATAAATCTGGTTCGTCTTCAAAGGTAAACTGAGGGGAGGAGAAATGATTAAACATAATTTTGTTAGTGATTTTTCCTAGCCACTTGGCCTCCTGGCTTTATGAAGAGGATGAGTTGGAAACTAGCTTAGCTGTGGTTATTGGGTATATTGGAGATCATTTTTCAGATGAAGAAAGAACTAATTAAGTCATTTGGCATAGGTGACATAGCTTGTTAATTAATAAACCTTGTGCTAGAGGGTGAGGGTGGAAGAGTGTGCATCTTCCAGGATATGGCACTTGCACCAGCACAGGTTGAAACTCTGGTGCTAATCTTTAGCTCTTCCTATTCCTCAAAATTCATAGGTGTCCATCCACATTTTGTTTTCTTGCACATTTGATGTGCTACACATAGACAGAGGTATTACTTGTACAGAGGTATTTTTACACTAGGTTATATAAAACCCACAATGAGAGTTTAATATTTACCAGCTTTATGTTGGTACCTTAGATTATCACCTTGTTCAGCTCCTACTTGCAGACTGTTCTTTTTCCCCCAGCTTTGTTGTATGCATAGTTATACTCACCTTCCTTCAGATATTTATATCCTGAATCATGCTTGTATTGCTTAAATTGAATTATATTTTGTCATTTTCTTATGCTTCCTTTCATTGCCCTTATATTTCTTCCTTTTCTTGCTCTTTGTTAAATATATAAAATACTTTCTTCTGAAATAACATATTTCTTCAGATCTAACCCTAGCTTTATTTGCTTTAGACTTCTTTCCCATTAGCATGGAATCATACAGTTTTATAGTTAGAATAATCTTAAAATATAATCTAATCCAGCCCCTTCATTTTTACAGATAAAGAAACAAAGGCGCTGAGGATTAATTAAATAATTTGGCAGAGGTTACACAGCTTGTTAGTAATAGATACGTACTAGAACTCAGGTCCTCTGATTCCCAGTTAACCTCTTCCACCTGTACTGCTAAAGACTAGGGCTTCTCTTTGCATATGTCTTAGGAGATTATGTTGGAGTTGGCAAGATTCTCAGGAGGTGATAGTTACTTACATTTGTCATTAAGTTTTTGTTTCAGGGTCTTCTGGGTTTCAGGTCCTTCCTTTTTTGTGGCAGTGACCCTGTAAAAACATAACGTATGTGAGCTAAGTCCTTAGTTTGAACCACAGTACCAGATACTGCTCTGCCAGATTGAGGAGGGAAATGGGGTTATCAGTTATTGGCTTGAAGATAAATTAGGTCAGACTTAGAGATCATTAAAGAATTAATGATTTTTTTGGGACCCCTGTTGTAGATGTGAGATATCAGAACTTTTCTTACCTTTTCAGATGAGTTTTTAAAAAGGATTTAGTGATACTTTTCAAGTATTCTGTGAATTCTTATAATAGTCATTTTGAATTCACTTAAGTTTTTCAAATCATAGCTATGAATTTCTGGCTTCTGACACTTCGAATTTTGGTTTCATTAAACATTACAAGTTTTAAAAACTTGAGAATTTAGACCATTGAACAGTAAATTATTTAGGGGAAAAAATATAGAAAGCTAAGGTTACCTGCTATTTTAAACAGTGGTTCAAATACTTTTAGTGATTTTTTTTTGGCCTCTTTCAAAGAAGATTAAATTGCTGTGGACATAAATGCCAAAAAGGAACTTGACATAGGTCTTGATATACCTTGTTTTAATGTCATGTTCTGTACATCTTTAGGTTTCTTTGTCAACAGCTTGCTAATGCTTTTGCATTATGGGTAAATCTGGTAATTTAGAAAGAATCCTTTTCAAAGAAATAAAGTATTATTCTTTTCAAATTACAGAAAATATCCTGAGTTCTCTACTGCTTTTGAAATTTCCACGCATTTAAGTTGCAGTTTTTTAATGGGGCATTTTACAAATAAATAAACTGGAAAGCTTTTGTTTTAAAATTAATTTTTGTTGGTATAATTTGTTTTTACGTCACCTACATTTTGCATCCCTCCCTCTTCCACAGAGCAATTTTTATAATAAAAAATAAAAAAGAAGGAAAACCAAAGTTCAGCAGCAACATATTAAAAGAGTTTGGTATTACATGAAGTGAAACTAACACTTTAAAAATGATTATTAGAACACCTGCAGGATTTTTAAAAAATTAAAGCAATTATTTTTTCTTTTTCAGTGGAATTATAAGCAGAAATAAGATATCATTCAAGAAACAGTTTGTAAAGTTTATAGCTGCCACTCCAATGGTAAACCATTGCTTAAAAAAAAGCATGCATTTATTATATTTTATAATAATGTGTGTTTCACAGCTTGAGCATCACTAAGGCACTTTGCTTTACATAAATTCCAGCCAAAATTGTTCAGCTTTTTGTTGTCTTCAGTGTTTCATGTTTCTAATGTTTTTATTAATGTAAATAACATTGTATTCTCATTTATTTTATCAGTTTTCATCACAGTCAATGTATTTATGTTTTTGCATTTTACTATTTGAGGAGCTATTTTAAAATTTAGTCTTTAATTTTAACCTTAGTCCCAAAGATTTAGCTTCTGATATAATTTATAGATGATTCTAGATGATAAACATTTTTAAACTAAGGATTCCTATTAATCATCTTAGTACTGTCATTTTTGCTGGTTACTTTGTTTTCACAAAGGTTTTGATAATTTTATGGCTTTCAGTTCCAAAGGAAGCTACTAAATATAATTCTTCTCTGAAATACATGCTAACTTAGGAGATATAAACTATAGTTTTTTCTTAGCTAATAATGTTCTTAGATACCACACTGAGTGAATTCTTTAATTCTAAAATTCTGCCACTTCTTTGACTCATTGAAGTGGAAGGGACATTATGCTGGTACTAATCTAAAATTCATTTTACTGCCTTTCATCCAGGTAGATGAAAATCCATATTAAAAAAAAATCTCCATAAAAACAATTTTCTTTTGTCACTTAGTAATCTGTTCCCATGCTTAATAACTTGATATGATGTATTTTTCTCTTTGAATCCTTCTTAAAGTAGCTTATTTCTTTCTGTACATTCTCCAGTAGAAGTTGGGAATAACTGGTTGTCGCTCTTGTTATATAGGCAGCCAGGTAGCACATTGGTAGAACTTTGGACTTGGAGTCAGGAAGACCTGAGTTCAAATCCTGCTTCAGTCACTTATTAGCTGTGTAACCCTGGTCAAGTCACTTAATCTTCTGCCTCAGTTTCCTCATCTGTAAATTGGTGATAATAATAGCACCTACTTTATAGCATTGTTGTGAAGATCAAATGAGATGCTTCTAAAGCTTTGCAAACCTTAAAGCACTATATAAATGCTAGCTATTTTTTATTGTTGTTGTTATTATAGTTGTTTTCCCTCCCAGGTAAAAGCTCTTTAGTGAGGAGCTATCTCAACTGTTTGAATAAAATGTCAGCATCAAAAATTGTGACCAGGTTTTTTGTTTTGTTTTTTTTTTTAAAGAAAGTGTTTTCACATCTTTTTACTTATGGATTCTTTGGATAATTAAAATTCCCCAAAGTAAATTAAAACAGTGTACAGAGACTGCTTACTATGATGATTTGCTTCATTTGCAACTAACACTCTGCATGTGGTGGTTTGCAGTGGTATCATTGGTCGCAGCAGAAAAGATTTCAAGCGGTATTTGTTCAACTTCATCGCTGCCATGCCTCTCGTAAGTGTACTTCTTTAAAAAAAAATCAGTTTGTGCATATATTTTTAAAATGATTTATTATAAATAGAACTTTTAAAATCTGTTCAGACTTAAAGCCTGAATTTTCATCTCAAAAAGAATTATAATTCTTGTTGTATTAACCAGGAAAATTGTAGTCCTTCCAGAACAACTTACGCTTCAGTTTCATTTCATTGTACATAAAGGATAGGGCCTTAAAATTGATACTTTTTATTTAATGTAGCCAACTATGTGCTATAAACCATACAAATCTCAAAGCTGATTAGTTTTTGTAGAAGACTCAATTGGAATTTACAGTCTAATTTTATTTAACTACTTGAATAAAATATAACTGGAATGTTTTGGGTATTAGACTTGCCAAATATTTTTTCTAGCTCCTTTAGTGTTTATTTAGTGATTCTTTCCACTGTGGGATTTTAACATTCGACTGAGGGTAAAAGAAGAGACTGCCTATAAGATATCTATTTTAAAGTAGAGTTTTAAATTGTTGGAAACCTAGATTTAGCAAAAATTGGTGGGGATTGAAAAGTAAATGGGAAAATAATTTTTTAAACCCTTATTTTAAAAGTTGAGTAAGTATAGACCAGGTTTAGAAAACCTGCGGCCTCAAGGCCACATGTGGCCTTCTAGGTCCTCAGGTGCTTCCTTTTGACTGAGTCCAAGTTTTACAGAACAAATCCTTTTATTAAGGAGATTTGTTGTGTAAAGTTTGAATTCAGTCAAAGGGTGGCACTTGAGGACCTCAAGGGCCACATGTGGCCTCGAGGCAGCAGGTTCCCGACCTCTGGTATAGACACTATTAATCTCAGGATGAAGGCTCAGCCAGAAGATTAATATTTAGAATTCATACCTTTTTTGGGGGTTTGTGTGGTAGAAAATAGAATTTTCTTGAGATCCAGAAAGCATATTACAGTTATCCCCTAATAACATAATAACCTGATATATGGAATTTTACTTTAGGGTAATTGATGAAATAGGAATGAACTTAAGTTAAGCTTCAATGAAATATTGAGATTTTCCTTGGGGAGTTCAACTTTAAAGTATTAAATTTTCCTCTTCTGTCAGGGTTGCAGGTGGATATATTGGAAATATTGTAGGATTCTGCTGTCATCTTTCTTGGTTACTGGAAAAACTTTTCAACATTTTACTGTGGTTCACATTGAATTAATATGACAGCATTGTAGTCAGCTATATGGCAAGAGAAATGTGGGGGCATAATAAGACATATTTTGCTATGTCTTTGCTGTCTACTTTTTCCACCTCTTTCTCTGTATCCTCCCTATGAACCATATCTCAGAATTTGTAATGAAAATGAGTAGGAAAATAAAATTGGACATGCAGAATTATATTTTGCTCCCCATCTTCATCTATTGATGTTGTACCCATATTTCAATGTGCAGCTTAAATACTGCCTTCTCCATGACATTTTCCTTTATACCCTAACTAGAAATTATCTCTTTCTTCATAGATGTCATTTTTATATGAGTTTATATTCTATTTTATCTCATAGTTGCTTGGATTTCTCATTTATGTCTTGTTCTATATCATAAATTCCTTTAAGTCCAGGACTCTGTTTTTTATCTTTGTGTAGGCTTTAGCATCTAGCATGGTGCTTAATAAATGTTGAATACAAATCTGAGGAGCAGGATCATCTTTTGAAATTCATACCCTCTGAAGATAGACACACAAATACACTGTTAGTGAAGCTATGGATCACAGATATTTTGTAAATAAAATGACTAAAATGTTTGTAGACTTTGACTCAGAAATTCTCTTACTAGGCACCACAAGGAGGTCATTGATAAGGATTGCCCCCGTCTACACTAAAATAATTATAAGTAGCTTTTTTTTTTTTGGTGGTTGCAAAGTAGATGCCTATAGATTGGGGAATGGCAAAACAAATTATGGTACATGAATGTAATGCAATATGCCTCTGAGGAAAAATAGGACAAATATGATAAATAAGGAGAAATATTGAAAGACCTACATGAACTGATGCATAGTGAAGCAAAAGTGAGAAAACAGTATGTGACTGCAGCAATGTAAATGGAAGGAATAACAACCACAAGACAATTACATGAATGTTGCAGAATTACATAGAGCAAGCATGGTTCTAAAGAAGAGATAAGAGAAGATACATCTTCCTTTTGAGAGGTGGGAGGTCCGTGAATATAGGTCATAGCAGATATTTTCAAAATTTTTCCATGTATTGATCAGTTTTGCTGATATTTTTTTCTCATCTTCCTTTTTGTCTTTAAAAAATGTTTTGTTATATGGGATGGCTTGGGGCTGGGGGAGGAACACTAGGAGAGATTCTTGTGATGTAAAAAGAAAAAGATATCAAAATTGAAAAAAAAAATTATGCCCTCTGGTTGTACTGCCAGCTTCCCAATCTGACCATAATATTCCAGGTACCTCTTAGACATTTACTTTTTCAATGACGTAAGTACCTGACAGTAACCCCTGCTAGTTATCTTGACTTTAGTCACTTTGTATAGATACTTCTTCTGATTCTCTGGTTTCACAGGTCCTTGAACTCAATTCCAGTGATCTAATTTTCCACCCCCATTTCACCCACTCACTGGTGTCCCATACCTCCCAGTTACTTGGAACTGTTCCTGTTCCTTGGCTTCTGTCCAATACTTTTTCTTTTCTTTTCTTTTCTTTTTTTTAAATTCCAAATGAAAAACTTCACATTCATTCCTGTTAAATTTCATCTTGTTAGCTTCAATTCTCCGTTCTCTGTCAGGATAATTTTAGATCTCAGTTCTGTCATCTAGTGTGTTAGTTTTCTTTCTGGCTATGTCATTAAGAAATTTGATTAAACTTGTTATCTATGACTTTACTTCCCAGAGTTTTTTGTACGAACTGCACTGTATAAACATTAAAGTGCTATGTAAATGTGAGTTTCTGGTATTGTTACATCACAAAACTCCTCCTCTGATCCTCATTGTGACATGGAGGTAATCCTGGGTTCTCCCTGGGGACACAAGAACTAGAAGTTGCCATAGACCGGAGAAGATTTGAAGAATGGACTATATTGACAAACTTTTCTGTACCAAGAGTGTGGCAGGAAATTACATTGATGCTTATCACCAGAGGGTTGACCCTCTGGCCATGAATATTTTGGGGTCATGACAAGCCACAAAATAGACAAAAATAGACAGAATTGCCATTTGTTCTGTGTGGTCCCTTTCTGTCTCCACAGTGGAAAAGCAGATAAAAGGAGGTAGAACTACATAATTCTTGGACTGTCTGTGGTCATTAATTTACCTATTGGTGTTCTTGATATGTAATCTTTGTCTGATGACCATTGAGTTGGTGCATTACTGGAAGAACTTAAAACTGTTAGCTTTTTGAAAAGGTTGAGCCCTTCCACCATTGTGCTGGGTGTGTCAGGAAGGTAGGAAGTAAAATGTGTCATTGATTTCTCAAGAAATCTTGTACAGTATTACTCTGGTATTATAGTAGCAGTATTAGATTCAGAGTTAGAGGATTTGAGTTTGTCCTTGAACTGCTCAAGGGCTCAGTTTATTCATTTATAAAATGTCAT